CCCCCCCCCCCCTCTTTCCAATCTCTCTCTATCACTCATTTAACTATATGTGTGCGGATTCATGAATACTTCTGCACAGTTATTTTACAGTACAGGTGTTCATGTTTGTACACCAATTGACAAAATTTAACTTTTGCAGGCCGGAATATCTGATACATGTATCTACTATAGCTGCAATGATCATTTTAGTCCAGCTGGTAAAGATAGTGACCATGTACAAGTAGAATGCCAGTCTTCTGACATTGACAATGCAACAAATTTAAATGGTGATGCAAGACCAAATATGGAAGGTAGATCTTTACAATCTTATGCTGCTCTTATGCACTGTGTATAACAGATGGTAGCATGAAAATTTCATGAACATATCATCAATTTAGAATTTTCACCCTGATGAGATAAAAGTTCTGGTACCTTTTTCTTTTTATTACATTGAGAAAAAAGGCTGCGATTTTTTGACATTATATGATGCCAAATGCACGAGTCTCCATCTTTTGCCTCTTTTGCTTAAAAGTTGCTTAGCAAGATTTCATCAAATGGCTGGAGTTAGTCTGTGTGTTTCTTTTGGTTCTTAATCTATCTTTCTCATAAAGCCTGTTGTTTCTGGGCTGGTCACAATTATCTTTATTAATAATTCTACTTTTAGTTTATCTTTCTAGACCAACCTGTTTTACTGAACCCTGCCACAAATAAAATAGGAAATGAAAAGGCTTGTTTTTATGCAATTGCCATAGCACATAGAAGGGATACAAGTATCTTGCTGAAGTCAGTTAATTAATACCTCCATATTAGTCTATTTCTCTTCAGTTTAGCCACATTCTCCCATATACAACCCCATGCATTGGGTTCACCTTGGTTATTGGTTCATAATTTAGGCACTCCGTTTATGTGTTGGTTGGGTGCCATTAAGGAGAAAGTGGTGAGGAGAAGTTTCCGGTATATGGAAAGAACATTGATACCTTTCATGGTCAAGTTTTTTGCATTTATCCGAAATGCGCCGGCTGAATATTGGAGGAGAGATACCAACATCTATCCATCCAATGCCTTGGAAGATGAACCAGAACCACAAAACCATTCACCTGTCAATGCTGAAGCTGTTAGTGAACAAGACCGGGTCCTTCCATGTGTACAACGCCTCCAGAGATTGGAAAGTTTGTTGGAAGAACTGAACAAGAAGCCTACTGAAATCCCACTGGAGAAGGAGCAGATGATTCAACATTCCTTGGACAGGATCAAGTCTGTAGAGTTTGACCTTGAGAAGACAAAACGGGTAAATATCCATATATTTTTTTCTTGATTTATGAAAATCCATAAGCCACTTTATTTTCATTTCCGAGCTTGTTCCAGGCGTTACATGCTACAGTGATTAAGCAGCTGGAGATAGCAGAATTGCTGGAGAATATGCGAGAGTCCAGATCTCATGTAAGTTATTCTGCCCAACAGCGCTATGTCTTTCGTGCTTCGAATCCATTGTTTGTCTTGGTACCCATATTGCCCATTGTTTGGAAAGATATTTCTTGGAGTTGCTTATATTTCAAATATGTTCTCTCTCTTTTTTTTTTTTTGGCCAAATCAATTGTCACAGTAGCTCTGACTTTCTTTTTGCAGCGACGAAGGTTGTTCTGTTAAGTTTTGGCAGCTGAAATTGGAAAATGCAAGCAAAGTCGGGGAATGGTGGAGGTGCAGAACATGGAAGAAGTGCATGTGGAAATCACTTTCCCATTTCCCGTTATCCTTCATTATACTATCCTCGGAAGAACCTGCGGCTATAGCTCTGTATTCATAGCTCTGTGGAAGTGTAGAACAGAAAATGCGTAATGAAAAAGCTTTACAACTCGAAATCTTGGACTCCAGTGTCTGTCACTGTTCTCCACTTGACTTACCATACAGCCTCATGAATGTTTGTGTAGAGAATATGCTAATTGAGATGTAAATGAAGTTTTGAAATGAATTTAGAAAATATCCCCCCATCTTGTACCCCAAGAAAAGGCCTTCGGTGGAGTTGCTAGTTTGAGTCGGCGACCTTGTCATTCCCCCCCCCCCCCCCCCCCCCC